CCATAAGTCCCCGCCTGTGTAGTTCCCGAACGAAACCGTGGCCACGTCGGTGTCCTTGAGGTTGTGGTGGTCGGTGTGGATGCCGGTGGTGGCGTTGCGAAAAAGCACGAAAGAAGTCCACTTACCTTGGTGTCGGCTCCTCATGAAGGCATTTATGTACTTCGTGGTCAAGGGAAACTGCGCGCTCTTGCGAGAGATGCCTTTGAACTTCCCATGCGTGAACATTCCGCCGAGGAAGTACTCGAGTTGGCACCCATCGCTTCGTTGAAGTCCTCTTCCCTTTTTAAGCTTCGAGAGGGGAATACAGCGAGCCACCTCGAGGAGATCGTCGTAGGAGAACTTCTTGTTCTTGAGCTTGTTCCGAGCAAGTTCCTCACAGGATAGCGGTGCGCTCTGTCCGTTCCCGTCCTGCACTCCAAAGGGCTTATGTTGGAATACATCCCCACGGCCTCCAGTGCTTATATTCACATCACGGACAGAGTTGTCCTTGCCATCCTTCTCGAAAGGGAGGTCGCCGAAGTAGTTCTTTAGAAAGTCGTCCTCGTCCTCGGGCCCCTCCTCCGAGTCCTCGGTCACGACGACATTCTCCATGACGTTCTCGGCATCCTCGTCGCAGTTCTCGTAGTGGTCCTCCTCGCCCTCCTCGTCGGCGTGCTCTCCGTGTTCGCATCTCAATTGCTGCCTGGCGGCAGCCCATGCCTGTCCTTGAGGATCGCGAGCCGTTCCTCCAGGTACTTCATCTCCTCGCTCACCTCCGCAGGAACATCTTGGTCCATGCGGATGGGCTTCGGCTGCTCGGTCTCCTCCATGCGGCGTCTCGGTGGCGTCTTCGGGGCTTGTGACGAACGTCCTGGGAACGGTCGACTCTTGGACTTGGCTTCGGGGTGGTTCGTCTCTTCCTTGGTCAAGAGGTCCCACGAAGCCGCCGAACTCGCATCCTCGGTGTACGGGATCTTCGCATTCTCTTCTGGGTCCATGTATCCGCTCGGGCTCGCCTGGGCCACCGGGGAGTCTCTCCAGCGATGGAGTTCTCCCTGCCACCAGTTGGCGAAGAGCACTAGGTCTTCGCTGGGGTTGTCGTGGCTCTTCACTTCCGCTAGCGCCCAAGAGCGATAGCTCTCCGGCGTGTCCTTGTAGGCTTTGCCGCGGAACCTCCCAAAATTCAGAATGCTGTCCGGTCCTTGCCCTCCTTGATTGCGAAGAATCCTCATCACGGTTCCCTTTGTCGCATGCGGCGGCAAGTGATAGCCGAGCTCCATGGCTCGCTCCTTCAAGGCTCCCAGCGTCATCTTGGACATTCCGGAGTCCGCCGGATGATTCCCGGAGGGCTGGCGACGGTCCTCTTGGATCAACGACCGTATCTCCGTTGTAGTCCACGACTCGCTGAACCACAGGTTGCGTGCTCGCGCCTCGTCCATCAGCTCTGCCTTGTTGAGCTCCCATAGCGTCTTGGGTCTGGTGATCACCGGCGCCGTCAGCAGGTCCGTCTGGTTTGCCATGAGCGCACTCGGGAACGAGGTTGAGGCTTTGGGGCATCTGCTTTCGTCTACGAAAGACTGTTCTTCCGACCCAAAGCATCGGAAGCATGGAGTCATCGTGCTCGTTGTCCCACGTGCCATGAGTTACAGGGAATTCCCTGTGAGTCTTACATGACACAGCATTCACGGTCCTGACGGTTCCAAGCGAACTCAAAAGCAGGTGCTTGCGAGACAGGTTGGTAGTACGCCAATGTACAGGACTAAAGAAAGCTCTCCGAGGGATCACATGAACACGTACAAGCAGATCTTCGTTCTCTACCCAGAAGTCATTCGATATGCTCGTAGAAGACCACCAAGATACAAAAGTATCGAGACTAAAATTGTCGTTGAGAAGGAAATTCTTTGTGGCTTGACCAATCTTTTTAGGATAGAAGATGTGGTTGTAGGTGGCTGGGGTAGTAGAGGAAGAAGGAGTAGGTATCTCGGTTGTAACACTGCGGGAGGTGCTCGAGGAACTTCGTGAAGTAATCGGCGTAGCGGTAGGAATAGCTTCGGCTTCGGGAGCTTGATCAGGTAGTACATGTTGTTCGGAGCTAGTCATCCAACACTCGGCCTTGAGTCCTTCACCTCCAAGCTTGTCTCCCAAACCGAAAACACTAAAATCCGAAGTAGAAGATCCCTCCCCCGATATGGCAGCCGTGTATTGCTCATCGCGCGGAAGGATCTGAATCTCCTGAGCGTCCCAGTTGGGGCCCATCGAGAAAGGGACAGGGAAGGGAGCCGGCTTCACAACGAAAGCGGGATGTCCCGTCTCCGTGATTGACAGCGCCATGCCCTTGACGCCGAGGTGCTTGAAATCGGCTGTGTTGGCTTCCACATCCATGATCATGCCCATTTTGCCTAACGCACCTCGGGAAACCAACAACGGTACTTCTCCTTGGACGACTGCGACTTTCAAGGCCACCTTCTTATCGCCCAACTCGAAACAGATAACCAAGCCGTAGCTGGCGATGAACACCTTCGATGCGCCGAATCGGAATGCTTCCTTGCATGGGACGAAGTGCAAATCACAACCTTTTCCTTTGGCCTCCGCAATGTAAGTGTCCATCCAGCTCATGCCCGCCACTGAGCGAGAGCACGCGGTGTCCGTGATCGCGAGGAAGTCCTGGTCCTTGGACTGGTCGATCTCCCATGTAACGTGCACCACATTGCATGGGAAGTTAGTCTTGGCAGGGTCCTTCACCGGAGAGGCCGCAGGCTTCGTGGGTGACGAGGTCGTAGTTTCCTGACCACCGCCGCTCGATCCACGATTCAGCGGACAGATGGCGTCTTTGTGCCAGTGCCCTCTGCGCTTGCAACCGGCGCAGAAGGACTTTGCTTTTGCCGCACGAAGTTTATCCGCGGCCAACTGCTTCATACTTTCAGGATCGCTGCCCCTCAGCTTCGCACTCTCACGATACTTTTGTTTCGCTGAAGCATGCGTCATGAACGCCTGGTAGAGTTCTTGTGCGACCTCCTCGGGCACCGGATCGTCGTCCTCGAGGTCCTGCTCCCTGTCCTCGTGGATGTCGAAGAGGTCGTGGTCCTCGTAGTCCGCCATGTTCGCCGTGTAGGGCTTCCGTCCATTCCAGTCCTTGCGGGGTTGTCGGCCTTGCCCTTCCCATGGTTTGCGTAGCCCGCGGTCGTGGACTATGGCGGCCTGTTGCAGGTCCTTCAACGAGTACTTGTTTCCCACTGAAGCCAAGAGGTTAAGTTCGGCTTGCTCTTCCAAGTTCATGCGGTCCACGAACACCCAGGCAGCTGCCACGTCGGGCAAATGGCAACCGACTTCTCCAAGCCGCGCATGCGCGCGGTCAAACTCCGCCATGTAGTCGCGAACACTCTGCGACCCTTTGCGGTGCAAGCTCCTGAAGAATCCCGAAAGACTGCGTCCGATCTGGGTCACCTGCACATCAAGGTAACGGTCTTTGATCCACTCGAGGAGATAGTCCACACCATTCTTGGAAGCAAGACGATCCATGTCGAGGCGCTCCGCGTCCACCCAAGCTCTATCAGACAAATGCTGATAGAGGGTGAGCCCTTGTTGATCTTCGCTCATCCGAGTCATGCGGCGCCAAGCTGAAACTTGCCTGAGGTAAGAACGTGCTGACGTTCCGATGTCCTCTCCATCGTCGCCCGTCTTCCCCGAGAACGTAGGTACGATCATCTTCTCGGACGGGCCGCGGGAGCCTTCGATGCGTCCTCCCTTCCACGCTTTGCCCTGGGCATCGGAAGCGGGCGCCCAGCCGTCAGGTTGGCCGCTGTTCCGGCGACTCCATGGGTCGCCTCCAGACTGCTGCCATCCCCAAGCTCCTGCCGACGACTGGTCGCGGGAGTCGTAGTCGTGCCCTGTTCCATCTGCTGAAACGGATCCCGTAGAGACAGATCCCCAAGCAGGCTGCTCATTCCAGCCCTTCTTGTAGCCGTCGCCGTAGCCCGAGTTCTGATTCCAAACCGAATTGAAATCGTGAGCCCTCTCTGAACTCCAGCCACGCTCGGCTTCACCCCATGAGTGACCCCATTGGCCCCGCCAATCTTCATCACTCCATCGTTGCCAAGACGCCTTGTCCCAGCTGTCCCCATCATGAACATCACGAGAGGAATCTCCTAGCACATCACCTACACGTTCGTCGCCTCCGCCATCACCATGTCGCTGCGGAGGATCGTCACTAGGTTGTTGTTGATCATCCGGAAAAGAACTCGCGTAAAAACTCGTAGGGCCACTGGCCGACATCGCATAGAGAGACTCTACTTGCGAAACTACACGGTCCTAGGAGCGCTAGTCGCTCCGCTACCAATTTAGAACTAGAAGGAGGAAAAGCCCGGAACCCCTGGGCCTCCAGCAAAGATCGGCAGCTTTTTGCCGTGTTCGGGCCAACTCGTGCGCCTCGTAAGAAGCGGTTGCGTCTGATCTGAAACCCTTCGAGCTTTACACTAAACCCTCACCCCAGCACATAAAGTAGCACTGATTGCCGTATATGCCACACAGTTACTCCTCTTATTTCTGATGAAATAGTTAACTTAAAACCAGGATAAACTAACTACGAGTAAAGCCACAATTGCCAAAATAGCTAATTTTCAAATTAACCATAAGTTACCAAATTAACTATTAACTATTAGGCGGGAAATTGCCTGACCCGATCTAGAGCGCCTTGGCTGTGTGCCTGGCTGTTGCAGCCAACTCTAGGGATTAAAAGGCTTAAGATACATTTTCTTGATCTCCTAGGGCTTCAGGTTTAGGAGTCAGGGGTTCCTAGCACCGAAGTTTGCATGCTTCTAGCATTAGCTTTGTCTGCGATTTCAGGAAACCCTGAGCAGACATCACCGTCTTCTGCTTCCGGGCGTGCCTGCACAGCGACGTTTAAGCCTCTGTGTCAGGTCTCTATCCGACGCCGCGGCAATAGCAACGGCTTTGTGGGCTGTTGCAGCCGACGAGCCAAAGGAAACGAACCATACGTGCCGGTCTCCGGGCTCAACCCCTGCTCACACCGCAGCCTGCGACGTGGACGCAGCCGGTTGTGTGGGCCTCCCCAGCCGGGCCGACATCGCCGGCATACCCTGTCACGTCGGTGCATCAGGCATGTTGCAAAGGACACGCGTCGCCAGCCGCCGGTCGCCATAATGGCAAGCCAAAACAGCTGCAATGTATGCGGTTTCGCTTGGAGAAACCCAATTCGCAATCAGTTGCATTATATGTTTCCTATGAATTCGGGCCCTAACACCGATTCCCTTGGAAAAACCCAATTCGCAATTAGTTGCGTTATGCCTTTTCCCATGGATTCGGGCCCAAACACCGATTCCCTTGGAAAAACGCAACTCGCAACTAGTTGCGTTATGTGTTTTCCTATGGATTCGGGCCCAAACACCGCTTCCCTTGGAAAAACCCAATTCGCAATTCGTTGCGTTATGCGTTTTCCCATGGGCTTTGGGCTCAAACATCATCCCTTGGAAATACCCAAGCCCAAACAGCTAAAAACACACCCCATTCCCTTGGAAAAAATCAATTCACAACTACTTGCGTTCTGTGTCTCCTACCATTTCCTATTATTTGTCCCCAGCATCGCAACGCAAGCTGGTCGGCCGCTAGACAGCTGCCAGTGCCTTGTCTACTCACGGGCTGTTGCAGCCGTCTTTCCAGTCTAGAAATTTAGGCTTAGCTGTTGCAGCCGCCTGCTAAGGTCAGTTTAGGGTGGCTGTTGCAGCCGCCTGCTATGAGCCCATAGGGGTTTACGATTCCATGCCTGAGTTTCGGGCTGAAGATTTCGGTTCTGGGGTTGCCCTTTCCAGTTATAGGTATCTTAATAATTATTGTTGGGTTACACCAATGATTGGTCAGAATCTGAATCTTTGAGAAACTTGGAAATTTCAATCAAGATTTCACAACAGGGTCCATTGATTTTGAATCCCATGGTATGGCTCCTGCCATTTCTGTAAATTGTGATGATGTGTGTTTGAGGGAGCGCCAACAGAAGGTCGGACAAAAGGCAACACATCCGTCAAGGCAGGAAGAAACAAAACAAAAAAGCACAAAAAAGCATAGACTTGCACAAGCCAGTAAGAAGAACCCGAAGAAGGGATCCTAATTTAGAGAATATATGCACAGCTCTAAGCTCTAAAACCCGAACCCCTGAGCCCTGAACCCATAACACCCCTAAACTCTAAACCCCCTAGTTCAGCGACATCCGCACCTCACCACGGACGCCGCTGACCGCGAGGCTGCACGCAGCCAGCAGCAATCGGCGAAGCCCAGCCAGACCAACAAGCCTTGGACCAACCCCAACACCCAAAACACAAAACCACCAACCCTACTCTTAAACCCTAAACTAAACCCTAAACCCAAAACTAAACCCTGAACCCTAAACCGCAAGCCCCTCTGAGCACTAAGGCCCCCGAAATTAGGGTCCTTAGACCCACTATATTCGGAGACCTCTAAATCCTCTAAACTCTAAACCCTTTATAGAACCCTTATGGATCCCTTTAAAGGTACCCGAAATTAGGGTCCTTAGAAACCCTAAACCCCTCTACGCGCTAAGGCCCCCGGAATTAGGGTCCTTAGGGGCTGTCGGCTTGGAAATTCGATCACTCGGAGGATCAGGGGACTTAGGAAGTATGGTTATAAGTACCCTAAGTGGGGATATAAGTAGTTATAAGTACAGTTACCTTAATTATAACCCTAGTTACTAAGTCCCATGATCCTCTAAGCAGGAGGGCTCCAGGTTGGGAGTTTCCGAAAATTAGGGTACCGGTTTCTGAAAATTAGGGACCTTTAAAGGGATCCATAAGGGTTCTATAAAGGGTTTAGGGTGTAGCATGTATGGTTTAGGGTTTAGGGAGGTTCCGAAAATTAGGGAATTAGGGGGCCCTTTAAAGGGATCCATAAGGGTTCCTTTAAGGGTTTAGGGTTTAAGGTTTAGGGTTCCGAAAATGAGGGAATTCGGAAACCTTTAAAGGGATGCATAAGGGCCCCATTAAGGGTTCCTATAGGGGATGTACAGGGTTTAGGGTTGGTGAGTTTCCCAAAAATTGGGGGGGGGGGGGGGGGGACCTTTACAGGGATCCTTCAAGGGCTCCATAAAAGGGATCTATAAGGGTTCTATAAAGGGTTTAGGGTGTAGAGCTTTCCGAAAATGGTGGGTACCCTATTTCGGGATCCTTGTAAAACTAATCCTACTATCTTGGGCACTATTTTAGAGTCCCCTATCTTCGGAAACTCCCAGGTTGGATTCTGCACCCACCCTGTACCAGTCTATATTAGGGGTCATAATCTAGACCCAAGAGTAGCCTAGGAATAAAAAGGATGCCCCTTTTTGGTTTAAAGGGGCTTATAAGGGAACCTGAACCCCAAAAAAGGGAATAAGGGCCTACTCTGGGTCCTAGTAGTAAGGGATAGAAAAACTGTAGAACTATTGCAGAAGCTTGCAGGGTCTGACTCCAAGGGGTCAGTGAGGGATCTATAAAGGTTTTTGGGTCAAGCGTTGCTTAGAGGATCATGGGGAATTAGTAGCTAGGGTTATAGTCTATAAGATAGCTATATGGGTTTAGGGTCGTCGCATACCCTGTCGAAACCCCCCTCTGAATCTTCGTTGGCCCAGCTAGGGCACCCTAAGACCCTCAACCCTGAACCCTCAACCCTAAACCCCCCGTTAACCCTAAACCCTGAAACCTTACCCCTACCCAGACCTTCCAAAATCCCTTAATTAAGGAATATCCCTTAAATTATAGTAGGATGCTTAATATGATTTAAGATATATTCCTTAATTAATTAAGGGATTTTGGAAGGTCTGGGTACTACGTACTACTGTACTACTACTGTGCCAGGGCACATCTCCCGGCGTCTGCGCACGCGAGACCGAATATGTCCACCTCTGGCTCGGGCATGACGTAAGCCTGCCAGGATCCCTTAAAGTTTGGGGCTCAGTGTAGGGTTTAGGGTTTGAGGGTTTAGAATTTGGGAGTTTGCCAAAATGGGGGACCCTACTTTAGTACCCTGAAGAATAGGATCCTCATTATAAGCACCCTAAAATAATGTCTCCTATTTTCGGAATCTCCCATTTAGAGCTTTAATGTTTAGGGGTTAGGGTTGAAGGTTTGGGTGGTTCATGGCTTTGGAGTTCAAGGTCTTACAAAGGTTTTGGGCTTCGGGGCTCAAAGTTTGGGGCTTAGGGGCCTCTTCAATGAACTTGTTTCTTAAGATACCATGGTCAGGATACTATTAACTAGGGTTCAGGTTTTACTACACTATATACAGGGGCGTGTGACCATGACCAAGCTTTAACCCCAAACCATACAAAGAAAAGCTCCATGCAAATGCCATTTCACTAATACAGGGGCCTTGATAATTACCTATACTATACTCTTTTCAGGGGTTTATAGAATGATATCCCCCAAAACCAAGGCCCCTACGTTACATTACAAGGCATGTAACATGCCTTGTGGACGCTGGTAACGCCCAGCCCAATGAAACGCGAATCCTGAAACAACACCTGGACATCTGAAGCCTGAGGCCCGTGACATCTGAACCCTGTGAACCCTGAGCCCTAAACATCCTCAACCCCACCCCCTTCTCTCAAAAAGAAATTTAAATGGCCCCAAACCCTAAACCGTAAACCCTGATCCTGAACCCTAATCCTAAACCCTAAACCCTAATCCTATAATCTTGTTTCCTGAAGCCCCTTTAGAGCCCAAAGCCCAATGACTGGGTTTTGAAACCTCATACTTGGAGGTTCATGGCTGGTTTAGGGTTTAGGGTTTAAAGTTTAGGGTTTAGGGTGGTCACTAGTCATAAGGGGGGTATAAGTCCCTGGATTTGGATTATTACTATAGTTTCATTATTTAAAACCCACTTATATATAACTACTACCCATGAACCTCCAACTACACCCTCATAAATGTCGACGAAGCCTCCTGAAACCAGTGACAAACCGTCCGAACCCTGAAAGCTGAAACATCAACCTTCTGAAGCTCAAAGCTTCTGCACACCCTTGGGTTAGGGTTTAGGGTTCAGGGGTTAGGGGTTTGGGGTGTGGGTATAGGGTTTAGGGTCCCGGGCTTAAGGCTTTTATGATACCTTAGGAGCTGCCCCCACCCTGTAGTGACTATAAGGATTATATTAGGGCGCAATTATATTCCTATAATACCACTATTACAGGGTGGGGGTCCCTTCTAAATGTTACCCCCTTTGCGGCCACAAGCCTCCCCACTGGAGCTACTTGGAGTCATGCTCAGGGCAAATGCCTGCACCATCTCGCCAGTGCTTAGGAGTTTACGACGGCTCTCATTCGGGATGAAGAAATCGCTCAAACGGCTCGTGGTGACATGTAATTCTGGAGAGCATGTCCCAAACGCTTTGTGCAGGGACAAACGGGTGGTTGTCAAAATTATGGTCCCTTTTGCGGTCCCTAATATACTACGGCACCTACGGGGTCCCCAAGAGGGACCCTAATTTTGACAACTGCCCAAATGATTCAAAGTATCGGTGCAGGTCTGGCAAGTGTTCTTTAACTGGTTCATGGTTGGGATAGCAATAAACATGTACATTTTTATTCATCATGGGCTTTAAGTACCCATGAACATGTAAAATGCTACCAAACTGCGACAAAGTTAAGGGTTCAACAGCGTTTTTTCAGAGGAAGGCTCTCTGCAAGGTTTTGCAAGGGCTTTAAAAACCCGGTCAAACCCGAAACTAAAGCCTAATCGCATCCGACTAGACTTCTGCACCCTAAACCCTAAACCCTAACCCGGAATAACCTGCATTTTTGAGGACTTCTATAAGGAAATCATAATAAGGAGCCCTAAAAAGGTAGGTTATTCAGGGTAAACCCTAAATCATAGGATCTTGTGAAGGCTTCTCTGAGGGTTTTATCTTCACCCTTAACCCTAAACCCCTAAATCATAAGATCTTCTCTGAAATTTTATAATTTGGGGTTTAGGGCTTAGGCTCCAAGCAGCATCACGAATTACTATGGTTTAGGATTTAGGGTTTGGGGGTTTAGAGTTTAAGGTCCTGCAAACCCTAGAAACCCGATACATCCTCACCCAACTCTGCTAAATCCAATCTGAAGCCCCATAAATCCTATCGCAAAACCCGCCAGTACGACTATCGTAAACCCGCTAGATTTCAAACGACATGTAAAGCCGTCGTGGAACCACTGCCCGTTGAAAGACCCTCAGTAATCACACTTGCTTGAGGGCCCTTGCAGAACCTGAAAAAGACCCACCTGCACAGGAACCGGAAGAACCAATAACAATATCCCTCTATATTCCTATACATGACCGTGACAATTCCTGCAAGACCTCAAAGCCGTATCCTGACCCCACAAGCCCCTCTGCAAACCCGTTTTCCGAGGCGATGCATCCAACCCTCAGGGAACACCTTCAACCATAATAACCCTGATCCCCTAAACCCTCAACCCTAAACCCTAAAAACCCTAAACCCCTAAACCCTAAAAACCCTGAACCCTAAACCCTAAAAAAACCTAAACCCTAAATCCTAAACCAGAAGAATCCCTCAACCCTAAAACCTAAACTCCTAAACCCTAAGCCCTAAAAGCACTAAACCCGAAGCCCTAAAAACCCTAAACCCTAAAAACCCTAAACTCCCTAAACTCTAAAATACCCTAAACCCTAAATCCTAAACCCAAAGAATCCCTCAAGCCTAAACCCTCAACCCCGGCCTTGAAACGGCTAGCTACCCTTCATGATAGGAACCCTTAACTATACTGAACTTAGAACCCTAGCAAAAATTATAATTTTAGCTGTTTCTTAAGGATTATAATAACCAAAGATTAAAAAATATTTCGAAGTACCCCTCAGTTAATAAAAGGAACTCATAAGGAGCCCCTGAACTTCCCTGAACTCCCTAAACCCTATAGTACCCTTATAGATCCCTCATAAGATCCCTTATAGAAACCCTGCAGAACGATGAACGATATAGGCCCCTTTAAACCCTAAACCCTAAACCCTAAACCGTCTTTGAAGGAAGCCTCATAGTTCCTCTTTAAAGGAACCCACAAGGAACCCCCGGCCTGGCAAACAGCCCTTGCCTTAAACCCTAAACCCTGTACCCTAAACCCTACAAGGTTCCTTTTAGGGATCTATAGGGGTTTAGGGTTTAGGGTTTAGGGTCTATAGGGCTCCTTATAATGGGATCTATAGGGTTCCTTGTTATGGGATCTATAGGGGTTTAAGGTTTAGGGGGTCTACTTAGAGGATCGTGGGACTTAGTAACTAGGGTTACAGTAAAGGTAACTATACTTATAATCTGAACCATAAACCCTCAGCCTAAAAGCCCTATGAACCCTAAATCCTAAACCCCGAACCATACACCCTAAACCCGCAAAGCCCCATGAACCCTAAATCCTAAACCCCTATAGACCCCGGCCTTGCTAGCCCTAGCTATATAGATCCCCTAATTAAAGAGACTACCCTCAATTATAGGAACCCTTCAAGGAACCCCTAAACCCTAAACCCCTAAAGTCTAAACCCTAAATCCTAAACCCCTAACCCCGGCCTTGCTAGCCCGAGCTATATAGATCCCTTAATTAGGAACCCTTCAAGGAACCCCTAAACCCTATGAAACCTAAATCCTAAGCCCCTAAACCCCTAAACCCTCAACCCTAAACCCTAAACCCCTAAACCCTAAACCCCTCAAACCCTAATCCCCTAACCCCTAAACCCTAAGCCCCTAAAACCCGGCCTTGCTAGCCCTAGCCAGCTTCGTGGGCCCCATTGTCTTCTGCGCTGTGCTTCGCCGCGCTCTTTTCCTGACGGTTCAGGGCTTAGGGCCTTCCGGGTTTCTAGGGTTTTTAGGTTTGTTTACTTTAGGGTTTGTAGGGATTGGGGTGTAGGATTTTTTTGTAGGTTAGTCTAGGGTTTGGGGTTTAGGTAAGTTTAGGGTTTCTAGGGTTTTCAGGTTAGTTTAGGGTTTGTAGGGTTTGGATTAGAAGCTGCCCCCATCCTGTAATGGTGACTATAAGGATTATAGTAGGGTCCTATTATATTCCTATTATACCACTATTACAGGGTGGGGGCAGCTTCTAAGGTTTGCGGTTTATAGGGTTGAGGGGGTTTAAGATTCAGAGTTTAGGGTTCCTTTCAGACTTCCCGGAAGGTCTCATTTTCGGAATTTCGGCTCTCCTAGGATGTTAGGGTCTATCTCCGTTTAAGGGTTCCTGAGGGTCTCCACTGAGGCGTCCTATAGGGCTTCTCTCATAGGATTTTAGGGTCTCCTTACTTTTAACATCTCCTTTTAAGGGTTCCTAAGGGTCTCCTCTGAGGCGTCCTATAGGGCTTTGGGGGTTCCTTCATGGTTCAGAATCAAATACCAAAATCCTAATCCCTCAGCCCGAAATCCCGGTCTCTCCTTTTAAGCCCAGCTTCGGAAACCCTTGCTGTCTGACTTCGCATATATAAGGCTTGACAGGACTTTCGAAGCATACACGATACGTTGCACGGGGTTTAATTTCAAAGGCCCGCTCCAAGGGCGCAAATTCTCTTAAGTATTAAGAGTTCAGGGCGCGAGGTTATAAACTTGTGCGGCGGCATCTGTCGCTCATGTTGTTCAGATAGGCCTTGATCAGTCGCCTCTGCTGTTGTTGGGGGTCCACCTTCAGCCGACGCAGGGTGGCAGCCAATCGGCCAAGCACTCTTGCTCCTGTTCCAGGGCACAAGAGCGTCATGAGTTTCAAGACCCCTTCAGGATTCCCAGACCTTCCAAACCCCCTTAATTAGGGAATATACCATAAATCATACTAAGGATCCTACTATAATTTAAGGGATATTCCTTAATTAAGGGATTTTGGAAGGTCTGGGTTGCTGTCAAGGATGCTCAAGGCAATCCCATGCCCCATGGCCATGATCGCCAGGCTGTGTGTGCAGGCACCTTTCTGCTTCTGGCCTCCTTTAAAGGGAACTCCAGAAAGTTGGAATATGGTTTCAGGGTAGGATACCCTATAATTTACCATAAAGGGTTTAGGATAATCATATTCCAACTTTCTGGCTTTTACCTTAACACTTCGGAACAAAGCTCCTCCGAGTCTTTCTATGTCCTTACCTTTGGTTAGTAGGGAATGGAAGAATGGTAGTAATAGTAGCTGTAATTGTACCCCATTCCTCCATTCCCTACTAACCAAAGGTGAATGTCAGGGAAATCCTTGAAACTCCATACCTCACTGCCTGAAACTCCGGAACTCTGAGAGCTCTAAACCCCCAAAGCCAGTGTTTCAGGCTTGGGGCCTTTCGGCATCCAAGACCTTCCAAAATCCTTTAAATAAGGAATATCCCTTAAATTAAAGTAGGATCCTTAATATGATTTAAAGCATATTCCTTAATTAAGGGGTTTTTGGAAGGTCTGGGAATATGGAAGGACTTACAAGCAGAGAATCCCTAGACCCGAACCCTGGCACGGCGGTAGCTCAAAAAGGCTGAGCAACCGCTTAAACATGTACTTGGAGGATCATGGGACTTAGTAAGTAGGTTATAATTGGGGTTATAAGTCCCCTAAGTGGGGTTGTCCTACTTATAACCTACTTATAACCTTAATTACTAAGTCCCATGAGCCTTTAAGTACAGACAGGTTGAACCTCAAACCCGAACATTTGAGTACGTGGGTCATAGGGGATAGCCCTGAAAGACAATCGCAAACCTCGTCATCTAGAACCATAAACCCCCATCATGGAACCCTGATAGAATAGAACTCTTATATTGTAAACCCCTGATAAAACCTGATACTAAAAGCCACGGAAACTGCCTCGCCGGTTCGTCCTCAGCACCGTCGATGCCCCACAAGACGCGAAGGCGCCTGAGGAAGCACCCTAAAGCCTTAAACTCTGAAACTTGGGTACTGCCCCCATACAGTAGCAGTCAATAGGGCTACTATTAAGAGCCTATTATATCAATATTATAAAGATTATCCAACTGTTACTGAGTGGGGGCAGTACCCATTCAGTCTGAGGTTCGTTGAATAGGAACCGCGAAGCATAATCCTTCATGGCAAACGCTTAGCCCTTGCACCGGTTTAGGGACACACTAAGTTTAAGCCCTAAACCCTAAACCCTAAACCCTAAAACCTAGGACCCTTTACGGCGCCTCCAGTGATGTTGTGGAAACCCGAGATCCTCCAAAGTAGCAGAGCGGCCGAAAACTCGTAGAATAAGGGTTTTAGACATATACATATACGATCATATACGTTCATGCTAATACTTGGAGGATCATAGGAGCTAGTAAGTATGGTTATAAGTACCCTAAATGGGGATATAAGTAGCTATAAGTACAGTTACCTTAATAATAACAATAGTTACTAAGTCCCATGATCCTCCAAGTAGGGGAACCCACCCAAAACCCTAAATCCAACTTCGGGACACAGGACCCTAGATTCACCCCAAGAGCTCCAAGCGCCTCCTACGCTGAGCCTTGCGAAGCATACGTCTAAAATCCTCTACCCTGATCTTAGAGAACTTCCGAACTCTTGCAGGTACGCCCACCCATCCCAATAGATCCCCTGGGAAAACCATCAAAACAATGTAGAACCCCACAAGACTCTAAATCGCCTATATACACCCTATAGATCCCCTCAGACGGTACGGCATGCCCAAAACCCGAAGCACAAACCCCACACCCTAAACCCTGTCCGATATCCCCAAAAACTCCAACAAAAACCTCTAAGCATCTCTGAACCCTAAACCCCATCCCCCAAGCCAGTAATACAGGGGCTTTGTAATAAAGAACCCCCAAGTAAAGGATTGGTAATGATTTAGGCTCCTATAATCCCTAAACCCTAAACCCCTAAATCCCTAAACCCTAAACCGCCTAAACCCTTTCCCCAAAACCTCCTCTAACAAAAATCCGAGGGGGAGCCTCTTCAGCTCCGCCTTGGGAAGCGACCGAAGCTGCTCGGCCAGCCGCTTGGCCGCCGAAGCGTCCAATCCCAGTGCCTCCTGGCAAAGGCTTTTGGGTTTAGGGTTTAGGGTTTAAGGTGTTTAGGGTTTAGGGCTTCGGGTTTGGGTTTTTAATTTTGTTTTTTAGGTTTAGGGTTTAGGGCTTGGGGGTTTAGGGGTTTGGGGTTTAGGGTTGCTTACAAGGAACTAGAAGGGCTCCTACAAAGGGATCTATAAGGAACTGAAATGTGCCTCCTTGCAAGGCGCTCGCCTTGCGCTTTGATTTAGGGTTTGCAGTTTAGAGTTTAGGGTTTTGGGATTTTGGGGTTTAGGGTTTCGAGATTAAGGCGTGCTGAGTGGCCCTGTGCACATGTGTTCAAGGCAAGCGCGCACCTCAGCATCGAAGGCTGCAAGGGAGGTGCGGAGTGCTCCAGGCGGGGTAGACCCCAGGGATCCGTCAAATGCGCCGAAATCAAGGGACGCGGTGTAGTCGTAAGACGCCGCGAGCTTCCTCATCCTCTGACACAACCCGGGCATGCTCGTGTGTTTTATCGAGCGACGCTCGAAAAACGGCGTATTGAACAACAGATCCTCCAAAACGGCCGAGTCGAACAAGTGAGTTCTGACGGCCCATGGGCCGCCCTCGAGGATGATACCAGGCTTCTCTTTCGAAAGTGCCTCGTTTGGTTTCACGTGCGCTGATTTCTTGAGCAGAGTGCCCTGATTACGCCCAGCGGAGCAGTTCGCTGACCGAAAGGCCTCGCTGCTCCACTTGCTGGACTTGTATTTCTCATGCATCGCCATCATGCACTCATGAATTTCATCGACCACCCCTCGGTTCACCGCTGTCCTCATAAGATGCACCTTCAATGTGCTCACGACCGTCTGCAAAGCCCTCTTGCCCTTCTCGCTCACTTTTCCGATGCTCTTGTCGTTGAGGGTGGCCATGAATTTTGGGTTGTTTGCAGGGTCCTGTAGAGTTGCAGATAGGATTGTAGTGGCTGTTTCGTTTCATACTTTGCCATGGCTGCTTCGGTTTGGGGGGGTTGGGAATTCAGGATTCCATCTAAAGGGATTACCAGCGAGGGTTCCGTTTTCGAGAGGGTTACTAGGTATTTTCGGTAAGCTTTCGCAACGGCATCCTTCCACGGCTAAACTGCGATCCCAAACCCTAAAACCCTAAACCCAAACCCTAAACCCTAGACCCCTAAACCCTAAAATCCCTAAACCCTAAGCCCTTATAGACCCTTGTAGTAGCCCTTATAGCCCCCTTTTTAAGGAACCCTTTGCAGGACCATAGACTCTACAATCCGAAACAGCCAGCTCCAAGCCAAACTCTCCACCCCGAGACCAGAGCCGAAACCTCAAACAGCGCTCAAACCCCTAAACCCCTAAACCCTAAATACCCTAAACCCTAAACCCCTAAACCCTAAACCCCCTAAATACCCTAAACCCTAAATACGCTAAACCCTACATACCCTAAACCCTAAACCCCCTAAACCCCTAAACTCCCTAAACCCCCTAAACCCCCTAAACCCCTAAACTCCCTAAACCCTAGATACCCTAAACCCTAAACCCCCTAAACCCTAAATACCCTAAACCCCTAAACCCCCTAAACCCCTAAACCCTAACCCCTAAACCCTAGATACCCTAAATCCTAAACCCCCTAAACCCCCTAAACCCCCTAAATACCTTAAACCCTAAAATACCCTAAACCTCTAAACCCTCAAAGGGCCGGTCCAAGGATTCTCAGTTTCACGGTTTACGTGCGCATCCAAATAGCCAGACTTGGGGACCCAAACACTATACTCTGCTTGGAGGCCCTTTTGACTTAGTAAGTAGGGTTAGTAAGGTGGGTTATGGGGATTATAATAGGGTTTCTAGGGGATACTAAGTAAACTTACTAAGTCAACAGGGCCTCCAAGTGAATGGTACTTGAAGGATCATGGGACTTGCTAGCTAGGGTTATTATTAAGGTAACTGTACTTATAACTACTTATAACCCCACTTAAGGTACTTACAACCTTACTTACTAAGTCCCATGATCCTCTAAGTACGACTGATAAAAACGCCTAAAGAAACTCCAGGAGGCTTTATCGAACCCTTACAGAAACCCCACGAACCCGGCAAATCCCATGCATGAACCAGTAGAGGAACCCTAAACCCCTAAACCCTAAACCCCCTAAACCCTAAATCCCGAAACTCTAACCCCTGAATCCCCAAACCCTAAATCCCTAAACCCTAAACCCCTAAACCCTAAACCCCTAAACCCACCTAGAGGAAACCTAAACACCCAAGCCTGTAGAGGCCCTCCCGCTGCTTTTCGTGAGCCTGTCGGCTGCACCTTGCAAAGGCCAAGAGGTCTAGGGTTTAGGGGTTCCTTTAAGGGCTCCTTTGAGGGTTCCTTTGAGGGATCCATAGCGGTTTATAGGGGCTTAGGGTTTAGGGAGTTTAGGGGGTTTAGGGTTTGGGTTTAGGGACTTTACGGGTTATTCTATAGGGGTTCCTATGAGGGTTCTCTTAGGCCGCAGACTTCGCATGTTCTCTTGAAGGTTACTTGTGGGCTATCTGCACTGGTTCTACAAGGTTGTAGACAGTAAGGACTGGGATGTAGTATGAGGGTCCCTAGACTATGGAATTAGCAACCCTGTTCTCTCGCAATCCTCTTCTCTGCAAACGAAAAGTACTCCCTCGCAGAATGAGAATGTGCTCGCCGTCGTAGGGAATGCCACAGCGCGCTAAAGAGGCACTAGTGCAAAGCAGTGGGGCTCTTGGTCGTCATGGATCGTACTGGCAAACTTGAGCCGTAACCATTTTTCGGCTTGGGGTTTTGGGCTCGGGCTGCCGATTTTGGGGTGTAGGGACATGGAGGCAAAAAGCCACGCGGAGAGCAGCAGCTGCTTCTGCCGCCTCAACCCTGCAATAAGATAAGATCCTAATGATCCAGATCCTGGCTTGGAGGATCATGGGGCTTAGTAAGTATATAAGGTTATAACTACATTAAGTGGGGTTATAATAGGTAAATATAAGCACAATTGCCTTAACTATAACCCTGGTTACTAAGTCCCATGATCCTCCAAGTAGACCTTAAACCCTAAACCCTATAGATCCCACTATAAGGAACCCTATAGATCCCTTTAAAGGAACCGTAAACCCTAAACCCCTAAACCCTAAACCGTGAAATAAGACCACAAACGCACAAAGCCTAAACTCGACACCCCCAAGCCTTCGATTTCAACTTCCGTTTGCAACGCCTCGCCGGCTTGGCCTCGGTGCTTAGACGGTACTATAACATAGGGGCCCTGATAATTCGAAGTGGGTTTTGGTGCCCAAGAAACTTTGATTTAACCAGGAACCCCAAAATAGAGGGGTTATAAGGGCTCTTCTTATATGCTTAGGGTTCAAGGTTTTGTGAAGTTGACGGTTTGGTGTGTAGGGTTTGGAGGTTCTTCTTGCTGGGGCTGTGAGAAGACAATAAGGACTCATATTGTTTTTCGACGGTTCTTAGCTTTATGAAGAATTGAGGAGGGATTTACTGTAGGGTGTCTCGGGTTTGGGATTTGGAACGATTGGTGTCAGCGAACTTAATAGCAAGTTCGAGCGGTCTCGGATTGAGTCTCCACCGTTTGAAGCCGTATGTGTCAAGCCCAAGCCTATACTGAACTTAGAACCCTAGCAAAAATTATAATTTTAGCTGTTTCTTAAGGATTATAATAACCAAAGATTAAAAATTATTTCTAAGTACCCCTAAGAAGCCCTTCAAAGGCCTTACAAGATGTCCATACAGGCATTGGGGCATAGCCCAGCACAATCGAACTGAGCAGCATCCACAACCCTAAACCCTAGACCCTGTTCTTATTACTGACTCGCTGTAGAAGCTCTGCGGATAACCTCCGGCCGGCCACAGAGCTACGCCCTTCCCCTAAGGCTCTAAGGACTCATACTTTAAGGCTTTTGGGCCTAAAGACCATATCATGTAAGGCTTTTGGGCCATTTTGAGCCTTAGGGTTCATCATGACATCACCGAAATCGCCGGCACCACCAAATCACCGCGGAGCCCTTTTGGGGAAAAAAAGCAAGCAAATGGCAATGCACTGCAACGAACTGTTCGGGCACTGGCCGACCAGTGACCCCTACGTTCATTGTCCAAAAGGTTGAGGGTTTAGGGATTCCACCAGGCTGCTACGAGCATATTTTAAAAACTTTGCAAAGGGATCCATGTTCTATATGTATCGGTGAAAGCAAGCCTTTACCTTGGATCTACCGTATTGTGTGAGACTTTAAGATGGAGAGCACTGGGTTTGACTCGTCCCTGCACAATACCAAAACTAGATCCCTTAATGGACCCCTGAAACTCCTGATATAACCCTAAACCCTCTACTAGACCCAAGAGTAACCTAGGCATAAAAAGGGTGCCCTTTTTGGGATAAAGGGTGTTATAAGGGAGCCTGAACCCTTAAAAAGGGAATAAGGGCCTACTCTGGGTCCTAGTCTACGCAAATTCTACACCCTCCTTTTCGGACCCAGCGCCTGTCGTGCAGCCGCCGGTGCTGTCGGGGTCGAATCCGTCGGATGCACCTGGCAGCCCGGTGTACGGAGTAGGGTCTAGGGTTAGGGTTTAGAGTTTGGGGGGTAGAGTTTAGGGTTTCGGGTTTAGGGTTGGGGTTAGGATTTAGGGTTTAGGGGCTATGGGGTTTAAGGATGCGGATTTAGGGCCTAGGGCTCCGAAAGCGCCTCATACCGGGTCTATTTATTATAGGGTTTAGGGTCTGGTGTTTCATGAGAACGGTCTTACCAGGAGTCTCAGGATGTTTGAGTTTTTCACGGAGTTTGATCGGTTGTGGAATACAGTTGCTGCTTATACCGCTCTTTACCAAGGGAGACATAGTGCCCTAAACCTAAACCCTAATCATTACAGGATCTCGGATTGTCGGTTTAGCGTCAAATAAAGTCTCGACCTAAATGGAACCTCCGGACTTGTATAATCTTGGAGTGGCTGGTCAAACCCTGCTTGCACGCCTTTCGAGGCGGCAACTTTCCACTGACACGCCTTGCAGGCTTGGCCTCGCAAAGTGGTGTTCATGTTTTATCATTTGTCCTTTCTCTACTATTTGCTTAAGAAACACCCAAAAAATAAAAAATAATCCCTATATTACCACCATAAGGAATATATTTTTTACTTTTGGGGGGGTTCTTAAGCAAATAGTAATTCTCTTCAAAGGTTTAGGATTTTGGTGGTTCATCAGGGCGCAGGGACTGTGGTGTTTGCAGCTTTCTTAGTTAAAGAGTTTTCTTCAATCTTGTAGATGTGAACAACTAGACCTAAGAGCAACCTAGGAATAAAAAGGGTGCCCTTTTTGGGTTAAAGGGGCTTATAAGGGAACCTGAACCCTAAAATAAGGGAATAAGGGCCTACTCTAGGTCCTAGCCAAAGTCTCTATGGCATGTAAGAGTGGGGTTTGCAGGATTTAGTCGGCGTTTACAAGTATTAACGGGGTGCAGGGTGTAGGATGTCGTGGGCTTTTTCAGATCCACAGGGTTGAAGGGCTCTGCAGGACTTAACCGAAAAGAAAAAGGACTTTCAAGGGTTTCGGGTGTGGGGTTTCATACACCTTTGAAAACATGTTGTATGGTTTGGTACTAATCACACCTTTTCGTTCATGCATGCCCCCTGAAACCCTTACTAAAAGAAACCATAGGCCTATAACCCCAAAATGGTAGGATTCAAAAAAGGAACCGTAATAAAGGCCCAAGGTTTCTTAATCAGGTTGCTACATCAACTTACGTGAGGGCTTTCAACAGCTCGATGCGGAGTTCAGGGTTTGGGTTGGGACTCCTAAACACGAAATCCCTCACAAAAGGGTTCAGGGTTTAGGGTTTAGCTCAATCCTACGGAGTAACAGCAGCGTCATAGAAGCCCTCCTCCAAAAACGACAAGACAAACTAGGGCCCACAAAAAACGCATAGTAAGCAATGTAAGACAGGGACATCAGAGAAAACCCCCTGTACTCAATCCCAAGAAGGTAGCCGCACAATGCCGCACCCACGCCGTTTCTTCCAGCCAAGTTAGATTTATCATGATCTATCTGCCTCGCTTGGCCGCGGGGCAAAAGGCGCTGCAGCCGCCCAGCGATCCGCGAAACGAAATGACCACATCTCCTCGCTCCCCCAAACCTCTAAAAACCCTAAACCCCTAAATCCTAAACCCTAAACCCCTAAACCCTCAACTCCTGAACCCTAAACCCTAAACCCCTGAACCCTAAACCCTAAACCCTTCATTAGGGGATCGACTCCCTGAGCCCCGAACCCGAAAACCGAAGTCCTAAACCGAAAGCCCAGACCTATACTCTAAATTTGACTCCTAGGCCCTTTAGGCTTTTAGGGTCCGGGGGTTTGGGGTTTAGGTTTAAGACGGGTATCTGGATGAACACAGGATGTTTGATCCAGTTTCAACCTGCAAGGTTTAGGGTTCCATCGGTTGTCGGTTTGAGAGTTTAAGGCTTTGGCCGGGAAGAGTTGCCAAAGCCAACCTGATATCTGCACACTACTGCAAGTGTACTCCCCAATCAAGTGTCCTCAAAGCATGTGAAAGGAAATATGAGCTGTGACTAACGACTGTAATCACATGGGTACTTCTCTAAATTAGGGTCCCTGTTCGGGTCCTCCTCATAAGGGTGCCGTTCTATTTGCGGGACCTAGAAGGGGACCCTAATGTAGAAAAGTAACCGCATGTACAAAGTCAACAAATAATCTCCTGAGGGACCCTTACTGAAAACTACATGATGTGAGGCCAAAAGTGGGGTTTAGGATTCTTGGGGTAGGGATTCCTTAACAGGAACCCTATTATGGGAACCCTAATCCCTACTAAACCCCCATAGGCTAAAACCCCTTTTGGCCTCCTATGACTACATTGCCAGGCGACCGAAAACCCCGAGAACTTACGTACCGAAACCCCAGATCCTTTTGGGAGGTCCTAGTCCGTAAACCTGTGCCTTCCACTAAACAGACCAGCGGACTTAGTAAGTCCGTATAACCCTAAATGCGGTACCTCATTCAAGCGCTAAGCTGCTGTACCCCCACAGCCTCTCAGCTGCAGAAACCGTACTGTGACTTGGAGGCCGTATTATAGGGGCCTTAATAATTTGAATAGGGTTCCTCTACGTAAAGGGGGTCTACAAGGGTTACAATAAGGGATCTATAAGGGTACAGTATTATAGGGGCCTTAACGATTAGAATAGGGTTTTGGGGACCAGTAAACTATAATCATAAAATAAATAACCCCAAGATAGTACTGGTAGTTCTTTACCCCTATAGGTCGAAACTTCTGCATTCTTGCTATGTTGTGTCGGCAACAAAGACACGCAGCACCTGCACGGCACAACTTTGTCCGAAGGCCTGCGCCCTACCTGTATTGTTCAAGGAGGTCAATGTGGTTAAATTGCATAGTTGCTTGTCTCGTTTGCCTTGCGCCCCTCACGCTAAAACGGCTCACCCAACAACGGAACATTACGAAGTACAGCCGTAAACTTCGAACCTGACCCCAAAACCTTAAACAGATCGCGCACGGAGGCTAACAGTAAGGCAGATATAGCCACATCTACCTACCCCTAACTGATGAGCCCTAACCTGCACATGTATGTACATATAAAACACATGAGCCTTCAAGGGGAGGACAAGATCCAAAGAACCCTCCATGAACCCTCTTGAAGCACCCTTAGAGAACTCTGACCCTTAGGTTGACATGTACAATCCTACACCCTGTAAGCCTTAGACCCAGGAACTCGCCTCTAGCCTTGACAGCTATTTCACAGCGAGCAGGTGCTGCCGAAGAGCCACCTGCAGAGGTTTAGGGTTTAGGGGCGGTGATATACCCCAAGGGTCCTAAGTACATAGTGGGGAATTGCAGTAGCCCCCATAACAGTACCTAGAACCCTTTGATATGAGAGTTTTAACGACTCAGAGGTGAGGTTGGGAGGTAAGACTATACCAGGACTATAGTAGGACGTTGCTACTATGCCGTCCGACGTTTATATAGAAGGATCCGGGGCTACATGCGAGTTTGCAAAAATAGGGGACCCTCAGAAAATACCCCAAACAGCAGGATCCTTGTTGTAAGGACCCCCCCAAAAAGGTACCCCAATTTTCGGAAACTCCCATATAGAACGAGCTCTATGAAGGCTCTGGTCTATTTGGGGATATCCCTTTTATGATCTTGCCCATCTTATATCCTTACTACATCCCCTGAGGCTCCAAGTGCCCCCGGATCACACCGCATGAAACCCTTATAGAACGTTCAACAAGATTTTGTGTAGAATCACGTTCTAGAAGAAACGCTGAGGACGTTCTGACAATCTCTAGCTGCGGGCGGGCTCCTCGAATTTTAAAGTCTGACGAGGGTTGGGTGGGAAAGTGTTGCAAGGGTTGAGGGCTTCGGGTTTAAGCTCTGCAGTATCGGGTTTCCAGCGTTGTATGAGGGCTGTCAAAAAGTTCCTACCAGCGTTGTAAGAGATTGTGGGTTTTGGTGCCTTAGGCAACTCTAACCCCTACCACGACACCTGAAACCTAAACTCTACAAAGCAGCCTCTCCAGGACCTCCCCGACCACCCCAGCGTCCCGAGTAAGGGGAATACGACAACCCAAGAGTCCGGGGTGTTTAGGGCCAGACCCATGGGGTGGAGTTTTGGGTTTAGGGCTTTGCATAGCTTTTGGTCTTTAAACACCCTGAAAAATATTTATATGTAGGGTCCCTTATAAACCCAAATAAGGAAAATAAAAAATGTCCCAAAATCCCACCTAGTTTTGGTCTTTAAAGCTTTAGGAGTCTAGCGTTTAGGGCTTCAGGGCTTTCGGGCTCAGGGCTGCTACGTTTTTCATCCTTTGGGGCTCAGGCTTCGGAGGGCTCATTTCGAAGGCTCGTTCTTATAAGGTTCCTACGGTTTAGGGTTTAGGGTTTAGGGTTTAAGGGTTTAGGGTTAGGGTTTAGGGTTTAGGGTTTAGGGTTTAGGGTCCATAATTAAGGGCTTAAAGTTCAGGGGTCTTTGCAAAAGACATGCGACCCGAAACAAAACTGCACGATGAAGATACTGATACAGAACCATGTTTACATGTATAGAAATACATACACACGCTAACCCAAACCTGCAAGACCAAACTATCTCTGCTACAAGCAATATAGACCAAACTATCTCTGCCACAAGTTATCTCATATACTCGTAGGGGCCTAAATCATTACCAAGTCTGTGTCGGGGTTCCTTGATTATGAATATACCCTCGAAACCTCACTTTCAGGGCCCTTATCTAGAACCCTATTATAGATCCTTATAGACTTACAGACCCCTTGAAACCAACGCATTCCAATTATTCAATACCCTAAACCCTAAACGCCTAAACCCTAAACCCCTAAAGCCCTAAACCCTAAACCATAAACCCCTAAACCCTAAATTCCCGCCCAGGCCTGCTTAGGCCGTACCCACCCGTTTTCAAAAAAATACCTTTTTGGGTTTTTTTCCTGACATGTCTGGCCCCTGGCCCCCCCCTGGCCCTGGCCCCCTGCTCTCCCCGCCGTCCGTTTTGGCCGG